TCAAAAGTATAATAACAGAGAACTTCCCAAACCTAAAGAAATATATCAATATCCAAGTACAAGAAAGCTATAGAACACAGAGCAGATTTAACCCAAAAAGGCTACCTCAAGGCATTTAATAATCAAACTTCCAAAGGTCAAGGATAAAGAAAGGATCCTAAAAGCAGCAAGAGAAAAGAAGCCTATAACCTACAATGGAGCTCCAATACATCTCACAGAAGACCTCTCAAAGGAAATCTTATGAGCCAGGAGAGAGTGACATAATATATTTAAAGTCCTGAGGGAAAAAGATCTATTACTCTAGAATAATATATCCAGTGAAAACATTCTTCAAACATGAAGGAGAAACAAAGACTTTCTCAGACAAACAAAAGCTGAGAGATTTCATCAACACCAGACAAGTCCTACAAGAAATGCTAAAGGGAGTACTTCAATCAGAAAGAAAAGAATGTTAATGAATGAGAAGAAATCATGTGAAGGTACAAAATGCACTGGTAATAGTAAGTACACAAGAAAACCATAGAATATTACAACACTGTAATTGTGGTGTATAAACTACTCTCCTTAAGTAGAAAGACAAAATGATGAACCAATCAAAAATAATGACTACAACAAATTTTTAAGATATAGACAGTACAATAAGGTATAAATAGAAACCACAAGTTAAAAAGTGAGGGACAAAGTTAAGGCATAGAGTGTTTATTACACGTTTCTTTTTGCTTGTTTGCTTTTTTGTTTATGAAAAATGTTAAGTTGTTAACAGCTTAAAATAATAGGTTATGCAAGATCATGTCCTTCGCAGGGACATGGATGAAGCTGGAGGCCATTATTCTTAGCAAACTAACACAGGAACAGAAAACCAAATACCACATGGTCTCACTTATAAGTGGAAGCTAAATAATGAGAACACATGGACATATAGAGTAGAACACACATACACACTGGGGTCTATTAGAAGGTGGAGGGTGGGATGAAGGAGAAGAACAGGAAAAATAACTAATGGATACTAGGATTAATACCTGGATAATGAAATAACCTGTACAATGAACCTCCATGACACAGGTTTACCTATGTAACAAACCTGTATATGTACCCCTGAACTTAAAAATTTGAAAAAGTGCTATCAAATAGTTGGTGCAAGCCTCATGGAAACCTCAAACTGAAAAACATATAATGTATACAAAAAAAAAATAAAAAGCAAGAAACTAAATCACCAGAGAAAATCATCTTCATTAAAAGGAAGACAGGAGGGAAAGAAAGAAGGAAGGGAAAACCAGAAAACAAATAACAAATTGGCAAGAGTAAGTCCTTACTTATTATCAATAATATTGAACATAAATGGAATGAACTCTCCAATCAAGTACATAGACTGGCGGAATAAACACTGGGGACTATTGCCGGGGAAAGGTGAGGGCCAGCGGGAGGGGGACCTGGAGGGATAGCCTGGGGAGAAATGCCAAATATGGGTGAAGGGGAGAAAGGAAGCAAAACACACTGCCATGTGTGTACCTATGCAACTGTCTTGCATGTTCTGCACATGTACCCCAAAACCTAAAATGCAATAAAAAATTAAAAATAAATAAATAAATAAATAGGGAATCGTTAAAAAAACAAGACTCATTGATCTGTAAGTAACATCAGACTTAATCTGCCCTACAGACCAAAAAGATCCAATAGATATTTACAGAACATTTCATCCAACAGCCATAGAATACACATTCTTTTCCTCAGCATATGGATCATTCTCAAGGATAGACCATGCTGGATCATAAAACAAGTCTTAAAACATTCAAAAAATTGAAATAATAACAAGCATCTTTTCTGACCACAATGGAATAAAACTAAAAATCAATAACAAGAGAATTTTGGGAACTTTACAAATACATGGAAACTGAACAATACATTCCTGAATGACCAATGAGCAATGAAGAATATAGAAGGAAATTGAAAAATATATTGAAACATGATAATGGAAACACAACATACCAGAACCTTTGGGTTACAGTGAAAGCAGTACTAACAGAGAACTTTATAGCTATAAATGTTACATCAGAAAAGAAGAATTCCTAAAGCTACATCATAAAGAAGTAGAAAAGCAGGGGCAAATGAAATGCAAAAATAGAAAAAGAAAAGAAATAATAAAAGATTAGAGCAAAAATAAATGAAACTCAAATGAAGAAAATAATACAAAATATAAATGAAACAACGTTGATTTTTAAAAAGTTAAAAATAGATAAACTTTTCACTAGACTAAGAAAAAAAGAAAAAATCAAATAAAGTCAGAGATAAAAAAGAAGACATTACAACTGATAATGCAAAAATTCAAAGACTCATTAGTGGCTACTATAAAGGAATTATATGCCAATGTATTGGAAAATCTAGGCAAAATAGACCAATTCCTAGATGCATACAATCGACCAACATTGAACCGTGAAGAAATCCAAAACTTGAAGAGTCCAATTACAAGTAATAAGATCAAAACTGTCATAAAAAGTATCCCAGTAAAGAAAAGCCTGGAACCCAAAAGACTTCACTGCTAAATTTCAACAGACATTTAAAAAAGAATTAATACTAATTCTATTCAAACTATTTCAAAAAATAAAGGAAGGGAGAATTCTTCCAAACTCATTCTGCAAGGCCAAGGCCAATATTACCCTGATAACAACACTTAAGACACTTTAAATTTACACAAACACACACACACACACGAAAACCACAGACCAATAACCCTGATAAATATAAATGCAAAAATCCTCAACAAAATATTAGCAAACTGAATTCAACAAAACATTTAAAAGATTGTTTATTATGACCAAGTGGGATTTATTTCTGGGATGCAAGGATGGTTCAACACATGCAAATCAATCAGTGTGATACTTCATACCAGCAGAATGAATGATAAAAACATAAACTCAATATAATAAAAGACATATAAGACAGTTCCACAACTAGTACCATACCGAATGGGGAAAAAGTGAAAGCCTTTCCTCTGAGATCTGGAGCACAACAAGGATGCCCACTTTCACCACTGTTATTCAGCATAATACTGGAAGTCCTAGCTAGACCAATCAACAAGAGAAAGATATAAATGGCATCCAAATTGGAAATAAAGAAGTCAGATTATCTTTGTTTGCAGATGATTTGATCTTATATTTGGAAAAACCTAAAGACTCTACCAAAAAAAAAAAAAAAAACTATTAGAACTGATAAACAAATTCAGTAAAGTCATAAAATAAAAAAATCAACATAAATCAGTAGTATTTCTATACGGTAACAGTGACCAAACTGAAAAAGCAATTTAAAAAGTAGTCCCACTTACAATAGCCACAAATAACATTAAATACCTAGGAGTTAACTAATCAAAGAAATGAAAGATCTCTATAAGGAAAACTATAAAACACTGATGAAAGAAATTGAATAAGACAATTAAAAAATGAAAAGATATTTTATGCACTTGAATTGGAAGAATCAATATTGTCAAAATGTCCATAAAGCAATGTACAGATTTAATGCAATCCCTATCAAAATACCATGACATTTTCACAGAAATAGAAAAAAAATTCTAAAATTTATATGAAACCAGAAAATATCCAGAATAGGCAAAACTATCCTAAGAAAAAAAAAAACTGGAGGAATCACATTTCCTGACTTCAAATTATATTACAGAGTTACAGTAACCAAAATAGCATGGTACTGGCATAACAACAGACACATAGACTGATGGAACAGAATAGAGAATCCAGAAATGAATCCACACATCTACAGTGAACTCATTTTCAAAAAGGTGCCAAGAATACACACTGGGGAAAAGACAGTCTGTTCAATAAATAGTGCTGGGAAAACCAGATCTATATACAGATGAATGAAACTAGACCCCTATTTCTCACCATGTAAAAAAATAAACCAAAATGAATTAAAGACTTAAAGATTTTTCTTCAATAAATGGTGCTGGGAAAACCGGGTCTGTATACAGATGAATGAAACTAGACCCCTATTTGTCACCATGTAGAAAAATAAATCAAAATGAATTAAAGACTTAAAGATTTCAAACTATAAAACTACTACAAGAAAACACTGCAGAAAATCTCCAGGACAGTTTGTTTGGGCAAAGATTTCTTGCATAATACCCACAAGCACAGGCAACCAAAGTGAAAACATATCAAGTGTTCAAGTGACAAGTGAAATCACATCAAGTTTAAAAACTCCTGCACAGTAAAGGAAACAATCAACAAAGTGAAGAGCTAACCCACAGAATGAGAGAAAATATTTGTAAACTGCCCATCTGCAAGGGATTGATAACCAGAATACATAAGGAACTCAAACAACTCTATAGGAAAAAATCTAATAATCCAATTTAAAAATGGGCAAAATATTTAAATATACATTTTTTAAAAAAGACATTAAAAACAGACATATGAAAAGGTGCTCAGCATCCCTGATCATCAGAGAAATGCAAATCAAAACCACAATGAGATATGATCTCATGCCAGTTAAAATGGCTTATATCCACACGACAGACAATATAAAATGCTGGCAAAAAGGTGGAGAATGTGGAACGTTCTTAAACTGTTGATGGGAATGTAAATTGTGCAACTACTATGAAGAACAGTTTGGAGGTTCCTCAAAAAAGTAAAAATTGAGCTACCATAAAATCCAGCTATCTCACTGCTGGGTATATAGCCAAAAGAAAAGAAAGCAACACATGGAGGAGATATCTGCACTCCCATGTTTGTTGCAGTAGTATACACAATGACCAAGATTTGGAAGCAACCTAAATGTACAACCTAAATCAACAGATGAATGGATAAAGAAAATGTGATATTTAAACATGATGGCCTACTACTCAGCCATAAAAAAGAATGAGATTCAGTCATTTGCAAAATATGGATGGAACTGGAGGTCATTATGTTAAGTGAAATAATTCAGGCACAGAAAGACACATTGCAAGTTCTCACTTATTTGTGGGATCTAAAAATCAAAACAATTGAATCCATGGAGTTAGAGAGTAAAAGGATGGTTACCAGAAGAAGGGAAGGAGAGTAGGGGAGTCAAGTGGAGGTGGGAATAGTTAATGGGTACAAAATATAATTAGAATGAATGAATAAGGGCTAATATTTGATAGCACAACAGGGTGACTATAGTCAATAATTTAATTGAATATTTTGAAATAACTGAAAGAGTATAATTGGATTGTCTGTAACACAAAGGATAAATGCTTAAAGGGAGGGATACCCCATCTTCTACAATGTGATTATTTCAGACTGCAAGCCTGTATCAAATAATCTCATGTACCCCATAAATATATACACCTATGAACCCAGAAAAATGGAAAATTTTTAAAATTACCAAGAAAGTCACAGAAAGAGAACCATATTTACTATTTATTAAGTGGAAGTGGATCATCATGAAAGTTTTCATTTTCATCATCTTCACATTGAGTAGGCTGAAAAGGGGGAAGAAAAGGAGGGGTTGACTTGATGTCTGGGGTGGCAGAGGTGAAAGTCCACATATAACTGGAATCTTGCATTTTAAACCAGTGTTGTTCAAGTGTCAATTGTATGCAAAGGTGGTAGAATCCTATGCATTGACACAGAAATATCTCCAAGAACACTGTTAAGGAAAAGAACAAATTGCAGAACAAAATGAATAGTATTTTTCTCATTTCTAAAAGCTGAAACCCATATACACATTTACACACACATATGGTATGTAACTATATAATATTGCAAATATACCTAATAAAATTTAAAGTAAGGGATCTAGAAGGATGAACATTAAATTACTGAGACTAGTTACTGTAAATTAATTTATGCTCCTGTTTGGGTCTCACAAGTCTAGTGCTTGGAGTAGAATTTGCCTGAATTCGTTATCTGTAAAGGAGGTCTATTTTCACATAGTATTGGCCATTATCACAGTGAACTTTGATTTCTATTTTGTAACATTTTATATTGTCTGAATTTTTAATAAAAATACATTCATTTGTTATTTATACAATTTCAAGATATTTAGAGAATCAAATGCAAAGAAAACAAAATACAAAAATATTGCAACAAACAAGATGTATACTGTGGGTGTTGAATAATGGTCCCTAAAGATAGTTCCTTACCTGTAAAAGTTACCTAATTTGGGAAAAGAGTCTTTGCAAATGTGATTAAATTAAGGATTTTGAGACGTGGAGAAAATCCTGCATTATGCAGGTGGGCCCTAAATGCAACCAGATGTATCCTTTTGAGAGGGAGGCAGAGGGAGGTTTGACACACACACACACACACACACACACACACACACACACACACAGGAGAAGTATAGAGCAAAAAGAGATTTGAAGATGTTGGCTTTGAATATTGGAGTGACGTGACCCCAATTGGGGAGCACCAAGCCAAGGAATGCTGGCAGCTACCAGAAGCTGGAAAAGGCAAGAAATAAATTCTCCCCTACAGCCTCTGAGAGAGTACGGCACTGCTGACAGCTTGATTTAAGCTCAGGGATACTAATTTCAGAATTCCAGCTTCCAAAACTATGAGATAATAAATTTTACTTGTTTTAATCTGCCCTATTTGTGATGATTGGTTATTGCACCACAGGAAACTAGAAATTTTAGAAATTTAGAAAATTATGCAGAAAAACATAAAAATCACTTGTAAACAGAAATAACTGTTATGATTTTTGGTGTGTTTCAAATATTTTGGTTTTTTTTTTTTTTTTTTTTTTTTTTTGAGACGGAGTTTCGCTCTTGTTACCCAGGCTGGAGTGCAATGGCGCAATCTCGGCTCACCGCAACCTCCGCCCCCTGGGTTCAGGCAATTCTCCTGCCTCAGCCTCCTGAGTAGCTGGGATTACAGGCACGCGCCACCGTGCCCAGCTAACTTTTTGTAATTTTTTTAGTAGAGACGGGGTTTCACCATGTTGACCAGGATGGTCTCGATCTGTTGACCTCGTGATCCACCCGCCTCGGCCTCCCAAAGTGCTGGGATTACAGGCTTGAGCCACCGCGCCCGGCCAATATTTTGGTTTTTAAATCTGAGTATATGCATGATCACTTTTGCAAATTTTCAACTTTATTGAAGAATAATTGATGTACAACAAACTGCACATACATTTAAACTAGACAATTTAGTAAGTTTTGACATGTGCACACACCTTTGAAACAACCACTACGATAAATATACAAACATTTCCATCATCTCCAAAACATCCCTGTGTGGCCCATCTCTTCCTAGACCTCCATGCTTTGCTTTCTGACACTATAGATTAGATTGCATTTCCTAGAATTCTATGTTTTTTTTTCTTTTTATCTGTCTTATTTCACTTGTATAATGATTTTGGATTCATACATGTTGTTGCATATACCAAACACATTTCATTCTATTTTATTGCTAAGAAGTAGTCTACAATATGGATGTACCACAATTTGTTAATCCATTCTCCTGTCGATGGACATTTGGGATTCCAGGTTTTGATTATTACAGGTAAAGTTATATGCATATGTGTATAAGTTTTAATGAGGACAAAGACTTTCATTTCACTTCAGGTAAATACCTAGGAGTAGAATGTTTGGATCATATGGTGAATGAGTATCTAACATTTTAAGAAATGTCAAATGAATTTACAGAGCACATATACCATTTTACATTTCTACAAACAGTTCCAGTTGATAAATATTTGTATGGTCAAACTTCTTAATGATATTTATTCTAGCATATGTTAACTGATACCTTATTGTGGCTTTAATTTGAATCTCTCTAGCAACTAATGATGTGGAATATTTTTAATGTGCTTACTGGCCATGTTTATATCTTTTATAAAATATCTGTTTAACATGCTACCCATTTATAATTGAGGTGTTTATCTTGTTATTCAGTTGAAGAGTCTTTTATATTCTTTGGATAGAAGTTATTTGATATATATGCTACAAATATTTCCTCTCACTCTGTGGCTTGCTGTTTGTTTTTCTTGTTTTAAATATTTTATTGCATTTTAGGTTCTGGGGTACATGTGCAGAACATGCAGGATTGTTGCATAGGTACATACATGGCAGTGTGGTTTACTGCCTACATCCTCATCACCTATATCTGGCATTTCTCCCCATATTATCCCTCCCCAACTCCCTACCCCACACTGTGCCTCCCCTAGTCTCCCTCAATAGACCCCAGTGTGTGATGCTCCCCTCCCTATGTCCATGTGTTCTTACTGTTCAACACCCACCTATGAGTGAGAACATGCGGTATTTCATTTTCTGTTCTTGTGTCAGTTTGCTGAGAATGATGGTTTCCAGGTTCATCCATGTCCCTACAAAGGACACAAACTCATCATTTTTTATGACTGCATAGTATTACATGGTGTACATGTGCCACATTTTCCTTGTCCAGTCTATCATCGATGGGCATTTGGGCTGGTTCCAGGTCTTTGCTATTGTAAGCAGAGCCACAACGAACATACATGTGTGTGTGTCTTCATAATCCTTTGGATATATACCCAGTAATGGGATTGCTGGGTCAAATAGAATTTATATTTCTAGGTCCTCGAGGAATTGCCACATTGTCTTCCACAATGGTTGAACTAACTTACACTCCTACCAACAGGGTAAAAGTGTTCCTATTTCTCCACATCCTCCCCAGCATCTGTTGTCTCCAGATTTTTTAATGATCGCCATTCTAACTCACGTGAGATGATATCTCAATGTGGTTTTTATTTGTATTTCTCTAATGACCAGTGATGATGAGCATTTTTTCATATGTTTTTTGGCCTCATATATGTCTTCTTTTGAAAAGTGGCTGTTCATATCCTTTGCCCATTTTTGAATGGGTTTGTTTTTTTTCTTGTAAATCTGTTTTAGTTCTTTGTAGATTCTGGATCTTAGCCCTTTGTCAGATGGGTAGATTACAAAAATTTTTCCCCATTCTGTTGGTTGCTAGTTCACTCTAATGATTGTTTATTTTGCTGTATGGAAGCTCTGGAGTTTAATTGGGTCCCATTTGTCTATTTTGGCTTTTGTTGCCAACGCATTTGGTGTTTAAGTCATGAAGTCCTTGCCTATGCCTATGTCCTGAATGGTTTTGCCTAGGTTTTTTTCTAGAGTTTTTATGGTGTTAGGTCTTATGTTTGTCTTTAAATCATATGGAGTTAATTTTAGTGTGAGGTGTCAGGAAAGGGTCCAGTTTCTGCTTTCTGCACATGGCTAGTCAGTTTTCCCAACACCATTTATTAAACAGAGATCAAGACCATCCTGGTCGAAATGGTGAAATCCCGTCTCTGCTAAAGATACAAAAAATTAGCTGGGCCTGGTGGCGTGTGCCTGTAATCCCAGCTACTCGTGAGGCTGAGGTAGGAGAATTGCCTGAAGCCAGGAGGCTGAGGTTGTGGTGAGCCGAGATCGCGCCATTGCACTGCAGCCTGAGTAACAAGAGCAAAACTCCATCTCAAAAAAAAAACCAAAAAAAAAAAACCCAGGGACTCCTTTCCCCATTGCTTGTTTTTCTCAGGTTTGTCAAAGATCAGATGGTTGTAGATGTGTGGTGTTGCCTCTGAGGCCTCTGTTCTGTTCCATTAGTCTATATTTCTGTTTTGGTACCAGTACCATGCTATTTTGATTACTGTAGCCTTGTAGTATAGTTTGAATTCAGGTAGTGTGATGCCTCTAGCTTTGTTCTTCTTGCTTAGAATTGACTTGGCTATGAGGGCTCTCTTTTGGTTCCATATGTAGTTTAAAGTGTTTTTTTCCAGTTCTGTGAAGAGGGTCATAGGTAGTTTGATGGGGATAGCATTGAATCTATAAATTATTTGGGGCAGTATGGCCATTTTCACAATATTGATTCTTCCTAACCAGGAGTATGGAATGTTTTTTCTATCTGTTTGTGTCCTCTCTTATTTCCTTGAGCAGTGGTTTGTAGTCTTCCTTGAAGAGGTCCTTTACATGCTTTGTTAGTTGTATTTCTAGGTATTTTATTCTCTTTGTAGCAATTGTGAATGGTTTGTTCTTGATTTGGCTCTCTTTATTGGTGTATAGGAATGCTTGTGATTTCTGCACATTGATTTTGTATCCTGAGACATTGCTGAAGTTGCTTATCAGTTTCAGGAGATTTTGGGCTGAGACAATGGGGTCTTGTAAATACACAATCATGTTGTCTGCAAATAGAGACAATTTGACTTCCATCTTTCCTAATCGAATACACTTTATTTCTTTTTCTTGCCTGATTGCTCTAGCTAGAACTTCCAATACTAAATTGAATAGGAGTGGTAAGAGAGGGCATCCTTGTCTAGTGCCAGATTTCAAAGGGAATGCTTCCAGTTTTTGCCCATTCTGCATGATATTGGCTGTGGGTTTGTCAAAATTGCATTTATTATTTTGAGATATGTTCTGTCTATAGCTAGTTCATGAGAGTTTTTAGTATAAAGGTCTGTAGAATTTTGTTGAAGGCCTTCTCTGCATCTATTGAGAAAATTACGTGGTTTTGGTCTTTGGTTTCTGTTTATGTGATGGATTACGTTTATAGACTTGTGTATGTTGAACCAGCCTTGTATCCCCAGTGTGAAGCCTAGTTGGTCATGATGGATAAGCTTTTGATATGCTATTGCAATAGGTTTGCCAGTATTTTATTAAAGATTTTTGCATCTATGTTCATCATGGATATTGGCCTGAAGTTTTGTTTGTTTGTTTTTTGTCGAGTCTCTGCCAGGTTTTGGTATCAGGATGATGTTGGTTTCATAAAATAATTTGGGAAGGACTCCGTCTTTTTGGATTGTTTGGTATAGTTTCAGAAGGAGTGGTCACAGATCCTCTTTGTATGTCAGGTAGAATTTGTCTGTGAACCCATCTGCGCCTGGGCATTTTTTGGTTGGTAGGCTCTTAATTGCTGCCTCAATATCAGCCCTTGTTATTGGTCCTATTCAGGGTTTTGACCTCTTCCTGGCTTAGGCTTGGGAGGGTTCAAGTGTCCAGGAGTTTATCCATTTCTTCCAGGTTTACTGTTTTATGTGTATAGAGTTGTTTGTAGTAATATCTGATGGTGGTTTGTATTTCTGTGGAATCTGTGGTGATATTCCTTTTATCATTTTTTATTGCATCTATTTGATTTTTTTCTCTCTCTCTTTTTTTTTATTAATTTGGCTATTGGTCTGTGTATTTTGTTGATCTTTTCAAAAAACCAGCTCCTGGATTTATTGATTTTTTTGAAGGGTTTCTTGTATCTCTATCTCCTTCAGTTATGCTCTGATTTTAGTTATTTCTTGTCTTCTGCTAGCTTTTGAGATTTTTTGATCTTGCTCCTCTTGCTCTTTCAATTTTGATGCTAGGGTGTTGATTTTAGATCTTTCATTGCTTCTCATGTGTGCATTTATTGCTATAAATTTTCCTCTAGATACTGCTTTAAATATGTCCCAGAAATTTTGGTATTTTGTGTCTTTCTTCTCATTGGTTTCAAAGAACATCTTTATTTCTGCCTTCATTTCATTGTTTATTCAGTCAACATTCAAGAGCCAGTTGTTCAGTTTCCATGAAGCTGTGTGGTTCTGAATTAGTTTCTTAATCCTGAGTTCTAATTTGATTGCACTGTGGTCTGATAGACTGTTATGATTTCTGTTCTTTTGCATTTGCTGAGGAGTGATTTCCTTCCAATTATGTGGTCAATTTTTGAGTAGGTGTGATGTGCTGAGAAGAATGTATTTCTGTGGATTTGAGGTGGAGATTTCTGTAGATGTCTATTAGATCCACTTGGTCTAGATCTGAGTTCAAGTCCTGGACACCCTTGTTGATTTTCTGTCCCATTGATCTGTCTAATATTGACAGTGGAGTGTTACAGTCTCCCTCTATTTTTATGTGGGAGTCTAAGTCTCTTTGTAGGTCATTAAGAACTTGCTTTATGTATCTGGGCCCTCCTATATTGGGTGCATATACATTTAGGATCATTAGCTCTTCTTGTTGCATTGATCCTTTTACCATTATGTAATGCCCTTCTTTGTCTCTTTTGATCTTTGCTGACTTAAAGTCTATTTTATCAGAGACTAAGATTGCAATTCCTGTTTTTTTTTTTTTTTTCTCTCTTTTGCTTGGTAAATCTTCCTCCATCCCTTTATTTTGAGCCTAGGTGTATCCTTGCCCATGAGATGGGTTTCCTGGATACAGCACACCAATGGGTTTTGACTTTTTACCCAATTTGTCAGTCTGTGTCTTTTGATTGGGGCATTTAGCTCATTTACATTTAAAGTTAATATTGTTATGTGTGAATTTGATCCTGCCATTTTGATGCTAGCTGGTTGTTTTGCCCATTATTGATGCAGTTTCTTCATTGTGTCAATGCTCTTTACCATTTGGTACGTCTTTGGAGTGGCTGGTACTGGTTCTTCCTTTCCTTGTTTAGTGCTTCTTTCAGGAGCTCTTGTAAGGCAGGCCTGGTGGTGATGAAATATCTGAGCAATTGCTTGTTTGTAAAGGTTTTTATTTTCCTTCACTTATAAAGCTTAGTTTGGCTGGATATGAAATTCTAGGTTGAAAGTTCTTTTCTTTAAGGATGTTGAATATTGGCCCCACTCTCTTCTGGCTTGTAGGATTTCTGCAGAGAAACCTACTGTGAGCCTGATGGGCTTCCCTTTGTTGGTAACCTGACCTTTCTCTCTGCCTGCCTTTAGCATTTTTTCCTTCATTTCAACCCTGTTGAATCTGATGATTATGTGCCTTGGGCTTGCTCTTTTTGAGGAATTTCTTTGTGGCATTCTCTGTATTTCCTGGACTTGAATATTGGCCTGCCTTGCTAGGTTGGGGAAGTTCTCCTGGATAATATCCTGAAGAGTGTTTTTCAGCTTGGATTCATTCTCTCTGTCACATTCAGGTACACCTATCAAACGTAGATTAGGTCTTTTCACATAATCCCATATTTCTTGGAGGTTTTGTTCATTTCTTTTCACTCTTTTTTCTCTAATCTTGCCTTCTCATTTTATTTCATTGAGTTTGTCTTCAATCCCTGATATCTTTTTGCTTGGTCAATTCAATCCTTCAGTCCCTGATATTGAAACTTGTGCATGCTTTGTGAAGTTCTCATGTTGTGTTTTTCAGCTCCATCAATTCATTTATATTCCTCTATAAGCTGTGTATTCTCATTAGCATTTTGTCAAACTTTTTTCAAGGTTCTTAGTTTCTTTGCATTGGGTCAGAACACGTTCTTTTAGCTCAGAGATGTTTGTTATTTTCCAGTTTCTGAAGCCTGTTTCTGTCAATTCATCAGACTGATTCTCTATCCAGCCTTGCTCCCTTGCTGGTGAGGAGTTGTGATCCTTTGAAAGAGGAGAGGTGTTCTGGTTTTGGGTGTTTTCATCCTTTTTGTGCTGGTTTCTTCCCATTGTTGTGGATTTATCTACTTGTGGTCTTTGTAGTGGTGACTTTCGGATGGGGTCCCTGAGTTGATGTCATTTTTGTTGATGATGAAGTTATTTCTTTCTGTTTTTTAGTTTTCCTTCTAACAGGCCCCTCTGCTGTCGGACTGCTGGTGGTTCACTCCAGATCCTGCTTGCCTGGGGATCACCTGAAGCAGCTGCAGAACAGTAAGGGTTGCTACCAGTTTTTTCTTCTGTTATCTTTGTCCCAGAAAAATACCCACCAGATGTTAGCCTGAGCTCTCCTTTATGAGGTGTCTCTTTGGATATATGGAGGTCTGGGAGCTGTTTGAGGAGACTGTCCCTATAGGAGCTCAAGTGCTTAGCTGTGAGCTCTCTTGTTCTGTTCAGAGATGCTGGGCAGGTATGTTTAAGTCTGCTGCAGCAGAACTTGTAATTGCCTTTTTTTCCCAGGTGCTCTGTGCTGGGAAAGTGGGGCTTTATTTATATGTTCCTGATGTGCTGCTGCCGTTTTTCACAGATGCCCTACCCAGCGAGGAGGTAGCATAGTCACAGTCTGCCAGCAGAGGCATTGCTGAGCTGCTATGGACTCTGCCCAGTTGCTGTGTGAGCTTCCCTGTGGTTTTGTTTATAGAGGTATAGTTAGAACTGCATTGGTAATGGCAGTCTGCCTAAATAATGGTGGACCATCTCTGTAATGGCAGACTGCTTCAATAATGGAGGACTGTCTCAGTAATGGCAGATTGCCTCAGTAGTGGTGGACTGCCTCAGTAGTGGTGGACTACCTCAGTAATGGTGGATGTCCTTGCCCCCACAGAGCTGGACCTTCCTGGGTCTTACTGTGCCTGCCGTGAAATTCTCAATCCAGAGCATTTCAGATTGCTGGTCTTTGTGGGAGTGGGACCTGCCAAGCCTGATCACCTGTCTCCCCATTTTAGCCTCCTCCTTTTTTCAGTTGAATAGGTGACTCTGTCTCCCACACGTTCCAGGCACCAGTTGAAATGGCTGCCCAGATTTGTGTTAGCTTTTGTGTGGAGACCTGCTGCATCTCTGTGCTGGAGACTCATGGTGCTTTTCCACCCAGGGAATCTCCTGGTCTTTGGGCAGAAAAACTCATTTGGAAATGCAGTGATCACTCACCCTCTGTATTCTCGCTGGGAACTGCACACCAGAGCTGTTCCTATTTGGCCATCTTGGAACATCCACTTCTTTGTTTTCTTAACGGTGTCTTCTGAAAAGCAGAGGTTTTAAATTTTGATGAAGTTTAATTTATAAGTTTTTTTTCTATCATGTAAGCTTTTCATGTATGTGAAAATTTTCATTGATGCTGTAAAATTTTTTTCTGTTTTTATTTTGGAAGTTTTATTGTTTTAAGTATTACATTTAGGTCTATGATCCATTTTGAGACAATTTTGTGTATGATGTGAGGTAAGGGTTAATGCTGTGTTTCTATATGGAGATTCATTTGAAGCTTTCATATATGAAAACTTTGCCATCATTGATGCTGTAAAATTTTCTCCTATATTTTCTTACAGAAGTTTTATTAAGTATTACATTTAGGTCTATGATCCATTTTGAGATAATTTCGTGTATGATGTGAGGTAAGGGTTAATTGCTTTGACATCCTTGTTAAAAATGAATTTACCAAATGTATATTCCTCTGATATACCCACACACAAAAAGTAAACAATTTTATTTTAAAAATTCAATTTACCATATATATGTTGATCTATTCCTGAACTCTCTACTCTGTTCCAATGATATATATGTATATTTTTTGCCAATATTAATCTACCTTGGTTAATGAAGCTTTTAAATAAATCTTTAAATCAAGAAGGTAAGTCCTCCATCTTTGATATTTAGAAAAATTGTTTTGTTTTTCTAGGTCCTTCATATTTCCATATACATTTTAGAATCAGCTTATCCATTTCTACAAAAAAAAAAAGCCTACTGGAATTTTGACTGGAATTGTGTTGTATCTGTAGATTAGTTTGGGAAGAATTGACAACTTAACAATATTACATTTTCTAATCTACAGACCACATTGCTTTTTAAACAATACTGGCTATATATGCAACTTGTTTCCCAAACTGGCTACTTTGTACAACCTGTATATAAAAATTGATGTATCCTTTTACTCATTTATTTACTCAATGAGTAAAGTTTAAAGTACCTATCTGGCTCCTTTCTAGGTTCTTGGGATACAGCATTAAACAAAGTGATAAATTCTTGCTCTCTTGGAATTTACAGAGTTACCTTAATAATCATAAACCCAGATTTTGTCAAATGCTTTTTCTGCATTTATTGAAATGATCATGTGATTTTTAATTTTAATTCTGTTTATGCAACCCTTTATGATTAAAACTCTCAGCAAAACTGGCATACAAGGTACATACCTCAATGTAATAAAAGCCATCTGTGACAAATCCACAGCCAACATTATACTCAATGGGGAAAAGTTGAAAGCATTCCCTCTGAGAACTGGACCAAGATAACCATGCCCACTCTCACCACTCCTCTTCAACATAGTACTGGAAGTCCTAACCAGAGCAGACAGACAAGAGAAAAAAAAAATGGTATCCAAATGGGTAAAGAGGAAATTGAACTGTCACTGTTAGCTGGTAATATGATTGTTTACCTAGAAAACCCCAAAGATTCCTCCAGAAAGCTCCTAGAACTGATAAAAGAATTTAGCAAAATTTCTGGATACAAGATTAATGTACATAGATCAGTAGCTCTTCTAAACACCATCAGCAAGCAAGTGAAGAATCAAACCAAGAACTCAACACCTTTTACAATAGCTGCAAAAAATAAAATACTTAGGAATATACCTAACCAAGGAGGTGAAAGACCTATACAAGGAAAACTACAAAACACTGTTAAAAGAAATCATAGATGACACAAACAAATGGAAACACATTCTATGCTCATAAATACGTAGAATGAATATTGTGAAAGTGGCCATACTGCCAAAAGTAATCTACAAATTTAATGCAATCCACATCAAAATACCACTGTCATTCTATTTTTTAAATTGCATTTTAGGTTTTGGGGTACATGTGCAGAACATGCAAGATAGTTGCATAGGTACACATGTGGCAGTGGGTTTTGCTGTCTTCCTCCCCTTCACCCACATTTGGCATTTCTCCCCATGCTATCCCTCCCCAGCTCCCCCCACACCGCTGTCCCTCCCCTATTCCCCCCAATAGATTTCAGTGTGTAGTGCTCCCTTCCCTGTATCCATGTGTTCTCATTGTTCATCACCCACCTATGAGTGAGAATATGTGGGATTTCATTTTCTGTTCTTGTGTCAGTTTGCTGAGAATGATGTTATCCAGATTCATCCATGTCTTTACAAGGGACACACACTCATCCTTTTTGATTTCTGCATAATATTCCATGCTGTATATGTGCCACATTTACCCAGTCCAGTCTCTCATCGATGGGCATTTGGGTTGGTTCCAGGTCTTTGCTATTGTAAACAGTGCTGCAATGAACATTTGTGTGCATGTGTCCTTATAGTAGAACAATTTATAGTCCTTTGGATATATACCCAGTAATGGGATTGCTGGGTCAAATGGAATTTCTACTTCTAAGTCCTTGAGGAATCGCCACACTGTCTTCCACAATGGTTGAAATAATTTACACTCCCACCAGCAATGTAGAAGTGTTCCTATTTCTCCACATCCTCTCCAGCATCTGTTGTCTCCAGATTTTTTAATGATCGCCATTCTAACTGGTGTGAGATGATATCTCAATGTGGTTTTGATTTGCATCTCTCTAATGATCAGTGATGATGAGCATTTTTTTCATATGTTTGTTGGCCTCATGCATGTCTTCTTTTGTAAAGTGTCTGTTCATATCCTTTGCCCATTTTTGAATGGACCTGTTTGTTTTTTTTTTCTTGTAAATCTGTATCAGCCCTTTGTCAGATGGGTAAACTGCAAAAATTTTTTTCCATTCTGTTGGTTGCTGATTCACTCTAGTGACTGTTTCTTTTGCCGTGCCGAAGATGTGGAGTTTGATTAGGTCCCATTTGTCTATCTTGGCTTTCGTTGCCAATGCTTTGGGTGTTTTGGTCATGAAGTCCTTGCCTACTCCTATGTCTTGGATGGTTTTGCCTAGATTTTCTTCCAGAGTTTTTATGGTGCCGGGTCTTATGTGTAAGTCTTTAATCCATCTGGAGTTAATTTTAGTGTAAGGTGTCAGGAAGGGGTCCAGTTTCTGCTTTCTGCACATGGCTAGCCAGTTTTCCCAACACCATTTATTAAATAGGGAATCCTTTACCCATTGCTTGTTTTTGTCAGGTTTATCAAAGATTGTATGGTTATAGATATGTTGTGTTGCTTCTGATGCCTCTGTTCTGTTCCATTGGTCTATATCTCTGTTTTGGTACCAGTACCATGCTGTTTTGATTACTGTAGCCTTGTAGTATAGTTTGAGGTCCGGTAGTGTGATGCCTCCTGCAGTGTTCTTTTTGCTTAGAATTGACTTGGCTATGTGGGCTCTCTTTTGGTTCCATATGAAGTTCAAGGTGGTTTTTTTCCAGTTCTGTGAAGAAAGTCAATGGTAGCTTGATGGGGATAGCGTTGAATCTGTAAATTACTTTGGGCAGCATGGCCATTTTCATGATATTGATTCTTCCTAACCATGAATATGGAATGTTTCTCCATCTGTTTGTGTCCTCTCTTTTTTTGTTGAGCAGTGGTTTGTAGTTCTCCTTGAAGAGGTCCCTTATGTTCCTCGTGAGTTGTATTCCAAGGTATTTTATTCTTTTTGTAGCAATTGTGAATGGCAGTTCATTCTTGATTTGGCTTTCTTTAAGTCTGTTATTGGTGTATAGAAATGCTTGTGATTTTTGCACATTGATTTTATATCCTTAGACTTTGCTGAAGTTGCTTATCAGTTTCAGGAGATTTTGGGCTGAGACAATGGGGTCTTCTAGATATACTATCATGTCGTCTGCAAATAGAAAGAATTTGGCTTCTTCCTTTCCTATTTCAATACCCTTTATTTCTTTTTCTTGCCTGATTGCTCTGGCTAAAACTTCCAGTACTATATTGAATAGGAGTGGTGAGAGAGGGCATCCTTGTCTAGTGCCAGATTTCAAAGGGAATGCTTCCAGTTTTTGCCCATTCAGTATGATATTGGCTGTGGGTTTGTCATAAATAGCTTTTATTATTCTGAGATACATTCCATCAATACCGAGTTTATTAAGGGTTTTTAGCATAAAGGGCTGTTGAATTTTGTCAAAGGCCTTCTCTGTGTCAATTGAGATAATCATGTGGTTTTTGTTTTTGGTTCTGTTTATGTGGTGAATTACGTTTATAGACTTGCGTATGTTGAACCAGCCTTGCATCCCCGGGATGAATCCTACTTGATCATGATGGATAAGTTATTTGATGTGCTGTTGCAATTGGCTTGACAGTATTTTATTAAAGATTTGTGTATCTATGTTCATCATGGATATTGGCCTGAAGTTTTCTTTTCTCATTGAGTCTCTGCCGGGTTTTGGTATCAGGATGATGTTGGTCTCATAAAATGGTGATTTGGGAAGGATTCCCTCTTTTTGGATTATTTGGAATAGTTTCAGAAGGAATGGTACCAGCTCCTCTTCATGTGTCTGGTAGAATTCGGCTGTGAACTCATCTGGACCTGGGCTTTTTTTGTGTGGTAGGCTCCCAATTGCTGCCTCAACTTTAGACCTTGTTATTGGTCTCTTCATAGTTTCGGCTTCCTCTTGATTTAGGCTTGGTAGGACACAAGTGTCCATGAATTTATCCAGGTTTACTAGTTTATGTGCATAGAGTTGTTTGTAATATTCTCCAATGATGGTTTGAATTTCTGTGGAATCTGTGGTGATTTCCCCTTTATTGTTTTTTATTGCATCTATTTGGTTATTCTCTCTTCTTTTTTATCAGCCTGGCTAGTGGTCTGTCTGTTTTGTTGATCTCTTCAAAAAACCACCTCTTGGATTACTGATTTTTGAAGGGTTTTTCATGTCTCTATCTCCTTCAGTTCTGCTCTGATCTTAGTAATTTCTTGTCTTCTGCTAGGTTTTGAGTTTTTTTGATCTTTTTCCTCTAGCTCTTTCAATTTTGATGACAGGGTGTCAATTTTGGATCTCTCCACTCTTCTCATGTGGGCACTTATTGCTATATATTTTCCTCTAGAGAATGCTTTAAATGTGTCCCAGAAATTCTGGTATGTGTGTCTTAGTCCTCGTTGCTTTCAAAGAACTTCTTTATTTCTGCTTTCATTTCATTGTTTATCCAATCAACATTCAAGAGCCAGTTGTTCAGTTTCCATGAAGCTGTGTGGTTCTGAGTTAGTTTCTGAATTCTGAGTTCTAACTTGATTGCACTATGGTCTGTTTGTTATGATTTTGGTTGTTTTGTATTTGCTGAGGAGTGTTTTACTACCAATTATGTGGTCGATTTTCGAGTAGGTTTGATGTGGTGCTGAGAAGAATGTATATTCTGTGGATTTGGGGTGGACAGTTCTGTAAATGTCTATCAGGTTTGCTTGTTCCAGGTCTGAGTTCAAGCCCTGGATATCCTTGTTGATTTTCTGTCTGGTTGATCTGTCTAATATTGACAGTGGAGTGTTAAAGTCTCCCACTATTATTGTGTGGGAGTCTAAGTTTCTTTGTAAGTCATTAAGAACTTGCCTTATATGTGTGGGTGCTCCTGCATTGGGTCCATATATATTTAGGATTGTTAGCTCTTCTTGTTGTATTGATCCTTTTACCATTATGTTATGGCCTTGTCTCTTTTGATCTTTGTTGCTTTAAAGTCTATTTTATCAGAGAGGAAAATTGCAACTCCTGCTTTTTTTTTTTTGCTCTCCATTTGCTCAGTAAATCTTTCTCCATCCCTTTATTTTGAGCCTTTGTGTATCCCTGCATGTTAGATGGGTTTCCTGGATACAGCACACTGTTGGGTTTTGGCTTTTTATCCAATTATCCAGTCTGTGTCTTTTGATTGGTGCATTTAGCCCATTTACATTTAGGGTTAATATTGTTATGTGTGAATTTGATACTGCCATTTTGATGCTAGCTGGCTGTTTTGCCCATTTTTTGATGCTGATTCTTCATTTTGTTGATGCTCTTCAGCATTTGGTACGTTTTTGGAATGGCTGGTACTAGTTGTTCCTTTCTATGTGTAGTGCCTCTTTCAAAAGCTCTTGTAAAGCAGGCCTGGTGGTGACAAAATCTCTGAGTACTTGCTTGTTCGCAAAGGATTTTATTTTTCCTTCACTTATGAAGCTCAGATTGGCTGCATATGAAATTCTGGGTTGAAAGTTCTTTTCTTTAAGCATGTTGAATATTGGCCCCCACTCTCTTCTGGCTTGTAGGGTTTCTGCCAAGAGATCTGCTGTGAATCTGATGGGCTTCCCTTTGTGGGTGACCTGACCTTTCTCTCTGGTTTCCCTTTGCATTTTCTCCTTCATTTCAACCCTGGTGAATCTGAGGATTATGTGCCTTAGGGTTGCTCTTCTTGCGGAATATCTTTGTGGTGTTCTATTTCCTGGTCTTGAATATTGGCCTGCCTTGCTAAGTTGGGGAAGTTCTCCTGGATAATATCCTGAGGAATATTTTCCAGCTTGGATTCATTCTCTTCATCACATT